GTACTCCGTAGATTGAGCGCAAAGCTGCAGTTCCCACTGCATCTCTGTTCTCTGCTTTCCGGCGGATGCAGTCGGTTGCAGTCAGTTGCGCAAGTGGAAATATATCGCCGCAGACGGGTCGGGCTGGCTTCTGCCAACGAGGGTCGGGTATCTGGGGCTTTACCAATCGCAGGCTCGTGTAGCGGGCGATGCGTGCCCGGGGGGTCATCGAGTCAGAAGGTGCTTCCCACACACCCACCAGAGAGAACAGACTGCGAGAATGATGGGCAGGATCTAGAGGTGCAGTAGCTTGTGGTCTGACTTCCATTCAGAGATGTGGGGGGGGCGTTGGGACGCAGTTTTCAGGCCGGGAACCTTGCACCGGATCGGCTGGGTCACGGTTCTTGCCTGCAACCGAAGACACAAGTGCTGATTGCGTGCAGTGGATCCCTTCCAAAAGGTCAATGACAGTCTGATGATACAGGTTCTCGACTGCTTGATCCCCTTGCATCTCTTGTTGCCCGTTTTTGCGGAGAAAGGCCAGTCACCGAGGGCAGCAAAGGTTGACTTTTCCGGAGGATGTATCCGCAGGCTGGGGAGACCGTTGGCCCGACCCGCCCCAAGCCAATCAACGAGTGACCGAAAATGAGCCTTGCTAAAGTGACAGATTGCCGTCCGTCCAGACTGGTGAAGGACAATGCTGGAGTGAGAGAGGTGGCTTCGCTAGTTCGCCGGCACCGAGGAGATTCGAAGCGGTGACTGACTGGGGGGCTTGCTTGCAGCAGGAGCGAGCATACATAGTCCTGCTCGGCACAGTCAGTCACTAGATTGATGGTTTGACAGGTGGCAGAGAAACAACCTTGAAGCCAAGTTCTCGCACACAATAAGGTTTTGCTTTCCCTGGAAACGCAGTCTGGTGTGGTAGCTGAAGGTTGTGGAAGTCGAAGTGGTTACTCGGTAGTGTGTTAGAGGTCTGGCGTTGGCGTTGAGGAATTTGCCGATTGTTTCCCAAGTCATACCGAGTAGGTAGGGACAGCACGAGGTGCGGGCAGCAACATGGCCTGGTGGCCATACCTACAGTACCAAGCACACCAGGTGCACCCTCCCTCACCACCACCACCAACCTTCCCTGCCCCTCGCCCCTCGCTACCTACTGGGTGCCCCCCTAACATTTAACACTCTGGCTACCCCACTGTTTGGAGGGGCGTCCTTAGGTCCCTAGGTATAGAACAGCCTCCACATGGGCCGATGGACATGCCCGGACACGATGCGCATGCCCGCTGATCAAACGTTCAGCCAGTAAACTTGTCCAGTACGTTGTTGCAACTCCTCTTCGAAGCCTTAGTTAAGCTGCCCAAAGCTGCCAAAGCTGTCAACTGTCCACAACCCACAACCTCGACCATCACATTCACCCAGATCTTAACTCGTGTTTCACCTCAATCTTCACCTCTCCCACCACCATTACCCCCCTACTCCCTCTCCTCCTCCTCTCTTCTTTCTGTCCCATCTCTCTGTCAACCCTCGAATCGGTCCTCATAGCCCCCAATCAGGGCCATCTCCGACTGAATCCCCCCTACCCTCGGCTCATCCTCCGGGTCGAAGGAGCCAGCCGCCGTCGCCCTCTCCCAGTTGCTGTCACTGACAGTTGACAACGGCATTTCTTATCCGGGCTTGTACTCAGGACAGCACTCAGCTGCTAAAGACATCCCCGATTGGCCCCGACCGACCATGGCCAATTGATCAACAAGTTAGCTTTCACAGCAACCACTCCGCAAGCATCAGGGGGCGCTCCGCGCTGCTGGGTTAAAGAAGGCCTGCATTGGCGCTCCCAGCCTAAGCAAGAACCAAACCATCGTTTAACCTCACTTCCCACCTCTTTCTCTTGCCTCCTGCCTTCTCAGCACATCCACGCTCCAAGGTTGCCGTTGTTTCTGGGTGCCGATTTCGCGGATTTGGCTTCTCGATAACCTCGTCGCTTCGGCGTCAGCAAACGCCCTGCGTGCGATAGGGCCTTGGCCGCTCGCGGGCCTTCTTCTTCGGTCCAGACATGATTTAAAGTATCCAGAATCTACCACCTGCGGTCCACACGGGACAACCCAAGGATCCGAATCCAGCTCATCGAACAAACTCAATTATAAGGAAAAGGCTTTCATCCTAGAAAATCCCCATCAGATTAGCACCAGTGTCCACCGCCCTGGCATTTCATTGTCCAACAAGAGGAGATGACAATTTGTCCGGCACCACTCCCTTTCCAGAGTTTCTCCGGTTCTTTTCCTCCTCCGCAAAATTCACGTCCTGGCTGGGAGTTCCAGCCTGACAGTCAACGCTCCCTCGGGTACGAGTATTTTCCTGAAGCTCCGTACCATCAACACTACGGCTACCCGACACCGGCCGCCTCGAATCGCACGACCTCGGCAATGGCCACTCCAGACATGGAGGAGATGGAGCAATTCCAGCAACTCTCTGACCAATATCAGCCAAACCTTCCCGTAGGTGTCTGAGCCAAAGCATACGCGCGCCTTGCTGAGCATATCTCAGGGACCCTTGATAGGGAGGAAAAAGCCCTTGTCCGACCTTGTGACCGAATACGCACAAGCCGACCCAACATATGTGGTCAAGACAAAGGTATGTGAGCTTTGTGATTGTGGTTACCTTCATGCTTATGATTGCAAGGCCCTCGAAGCAACCCACTCTGCATATCGGCAAATCAAGGGCGACGGGCAGTGCGGCTGGCGCGGTAAGGACGCAGATTCATCCCTGGTATCGAGAATTTCGCTAACCCACTCGCCCGTGATGCTTGCAGGCGCTGTCTTCGGCTACTTCGAGATCCTGCTTCGATCTGGAGATCCCGGTCTAATCACGCAAGAATTGGTTCGGCTACGAAGCTTTGAGCAGACCATGCGCAACGTTGGCATAGACTACGATATCATAATCGACATGTTTGACTATACTTGGGAGCTCTTTGACGCTCTCAAGGCTGCTATCGAGCGCAGAGATACGAATGAAGCTGTGTTGCTTGATTCACTGAATGACGAGAATATTTCGAATTCGATTGTCTATCACTTCAAGGTGGGTTTACCCTTACGTTTGGGAGAATGCTTTTTGACGAAGTATCAGATGATGACAAGCTCCTTCATGCAACTGCAACCGGACCGATACGAAGCATTCCTGGAAATGCCGGTTCAACAGTATTGTTTGACCAGGATTGATCCTGCAAATCAAGAGATTGATCATGTCGGGCTTCAAGCCTTGACGGATGCTGTCATTGCCCCCGCATTCTTCGCACTCGAAGTGGCGTATCTGGACAGAAGCACCGGCGACGAAGTGACTTCATACCATTTCGTGGACAATGCGAAGGGATGGCCCACTATTCGACTGATATATCGTCCGTACGTTCCTCCTCCCATCCAATCCTAGATGAGCCGAACTAACTCAAGTATTAGTGGGCATTACGACATCATTTACAAAGAAGATCAGATGCTTGCCCCAGAGCCACAGCGACTGCAGGTGTATCTACAGACGGATGCTCCTCAATATGTAGGCCCTCACCACCATGAAGCCTTCAAGTCCGAAGATCCTCAAGCTCTCGATGAATTAGTCTACATGTTCCCGCATACCACACGGGCTCTGACAGATTCTTCGCTGTCATATTCAAGCAGTAGCGTCTTCTCCCCCTCATTCCAGAGTCCGGTGGCTGTGATGTATACACAGTCAAACTCCGCACAGGCTTCCTACTTTCCACCGATGCCACCTACGGGTTTTCATGCGATACCACCTCCGCAACACCAGTCACAGCAGCCAACACGTCCTCCCGTCAGAACCCACTCTCTCCCACAACGAAGCTATTCTTCATCGATGCTACAGCTAACGCCGCAAATCTCGCCTTCACCACAATCCCCTCAGCCCCCATCTCCGGCGACACCGAATTCTGCCGTTACCAAACCGGTCATCATCGTGCCCAACGCGAAATCGAACGAACCCCAGATCAGATACAATGAGAACTGTTTCAATTACAGCCTTCAGGGCAACAAAAGCATTCCGCTGGATCCAGCATCGTTTGGCAGGTAAGCATACCCCTTTCAGTTCATCCTCGGCTCTCTCTCCGCCGTTGATGCCGCCGTTATTTCCCTGCATGGTTCTGGTCTGGTTGACTCTTCTGCTAACTCTTCATCTGATGTTCTCAGTTCGGCTTTGAGCCCGGCACACTTTGCCAATTCAGCCTTTCAGCCTCTGATATGGAACGCGGAGGAAGAATATGGCAAGCGGGACTGAAATCAGCCCCAATCTGAACCGTCAAGACAGCTTTCCCTCATATGAGGGTCACGCGGTGCTCTGGGCGCTTTCGCCCGGGCACCCGTGTGATCCATCTCCAATGCGTCAAACGCAACGTGTGCGAATACTTCCTTAATGCATACCGGGGGCAACGATTCGACAATTCAATTAGTGCTTTGAATAACCCAGCATTTCCTTGGCGAAGTGGAGCAGCCTTTTTCTCTTATATGAGCAGCATACCAGATGCGACGCAATGGAGAGGGTTATCCACCGGTCTTTACTAAATCACGGCAATTTTCGTTTTATCATTTTCATTCCTGTATGACACGAAAGGGTCACGACTGTCATTACCGCTGTATAAATAATCACGAATTCCAATCCTGATAGAACCGGGGGGAGGCGAGAGAAGGATGTCCCCTTTGAGCCCCGTGGGTTAGTTGAAAGACCTTATGAGAAAGAAAAAAAAAAGAAAACAGAGAACGGGAAGGGAAAAAAGAGAATAACAGACTCAAGAAGGAAGCTCCAATGGCGCCTCCCAATGGTGATGTTGCAGCTGCGCCTATTAGCATGGGCTCAATCGAGGTGCAGAGGAAGTGAGGCGAGCAGAGGTCGAATTTTGATCTTGCGCTTGAAATCCAACCAGGCCCCAGTGTGACAAGAGTATTCTAGTCCTTTTAGTCCTCGAATTCATTTTCTTTTCTTCAACAATAAAACAATGTTTCTCTCGCGCACACTCGGACCTGGATCGGTCACAGAAGGTCCGTCTCTCGAATGCTGTATACGCCATGCACGGTCTCCCTGCCCTCGGCCTTCATGGCATTTAGGCCGTGGACGATCTCGCGGGCAAAGACGTCGGCGACAGATTCCATTGGGATCGGCTCGGCGGCTAGCCTGGCTTGATCATCGTCGCTGCACCGTGCACCTCGCCCTGGGGGTTCACCTGTGAAAGGCCGAGATGAGGTTCCGTGTCCTGTTGAGCCCGAAGGCGGGTAAGAGCGCGACATTTCCCTCGTCAGCCAAGTTACGCTCTTCCCTTCTAGTCCGCAGGCGACGATGCGACTGAATCCCCACGACAAGTAGCCTCGCGTAGAGGGGTCGTACGAGGGAGAGGATAGTTGTGTGGGTATGAAGTCATAGAGGCCCTGTCGTGAAGAGGACACGGCAGAAAGAGAAGGCGACGTTGACGACCAGAAAGAAGGAGAGGACGAGCAGGATGATGACGATGAGAGGTCTGTGGATGGGAATACCGACGACGGAGACGCCGAGGGAAGCGGTGCGTCGTACACGTTCAACCCGATGCCGTGAGAGGTAACACCACGCGAGACCTGGACACCGATGGCACAGATTTTGCGATCGCTTGGAGCCGATGGTTTGGCTGCTGGCGTGGATGATGAGCCTCGCTTATCCTCTTCCTGGTCCAGCACCCAAACCCCCGGATCGTCCGTTCTCCCAGCCCGGACCCCCCAACGACCGCAGGTGCGCATGACACTCTCTTCCAACAACCTCACCCAGCACCTCGCACTGATGGCAAACCTCCGCAGGTCGACAATCACATAGCCGGTCAGCTGACCGGGTGCGTGGTACGTGAGAAGTCCACCGCGCGGGGAGGCGTGAAACGTTGCCAGGCCATTGGCAGAAAGGAGGGACTGTTGATCCGTGGAGATGGGGTTGGTCAGGAGGTGCCGACGACCAACCGTGTAGGTGGGAGGAGTGCTGAATGTCAGGAGGACAGGATCCGGGGGAGTGTGGATGTGCGCGAGCGTATGGGAGCTGGAGCTGGAGTCAAGACACGAGGGCGAGCTGGTATTGCGGAGGGCAATCGTCGCACTATTTGTAGTGCAACTTCCATTTCCGGCGCCAAGCGACGACGAGCCTGGTCGATCGTGATCACGATCATGTCGTGGCTTCGATATGCTGCTTGCCAGCCAGGTGCGCGCCTCAGCTGCGTCATCATCCTCACCAGCAGCATGATGCGAAGCTGATCGATCGAAGATACTTTTCGCCGGCTGCCCTGTAGGTCCCCGGTCCTTGCCGTCGAGCACAGGGACACGCGCATTACTCGCTGCCTCGCCTTCTCTTCTTCCTCTCGGCCCCGCCGCCTCTCTCCCGACCGAGCGCAGCCAATCCTTGTGTTGGAAATATCTCTCTAGAATGGCCGTTTGCAGTCGCAGTGAGTGGCTGTAAGAGATCAGGCCGGGGATGTGCAAGTGAGCTAAGCGCATGACAGTGCATTGTTGCTGATATTGTTTTGGCCTGGGTTGCCTCTGAAAGCGAACCTACCCTATCGGGGCATATGGTTCGAGGTTCGAGGTGATGGCTTTGAAGGGGTTAGGAATTTCACCCGAGGTCTGTTGGTGTTTCTAGGTTATGACATGCTGAGTTTTGGGCTTGTTTCGGTTTGTTCTCTAGTGTGTCAAAGTGCCGGGCAAAGCTCGTGCCGCGCCGCAAATAAAGGCTTGTTGGTGTCTGACGTCTCGGGAAAAGGCAGACTCTGGGACGAAGAAGTCGGTTAAACGGGCGGGAAGGGTTTCTTCAGCATTGGAAACAGGAGCTCGAAATGGAAAAGACGTGTCAGAAATGCAAATCAGCGAGACGAGAAGAGCGCAGGCTCGCAGGTTATATAGTAGGTTAGGTAGGTAGCTTGGTAGGCTGCGCAAGGCGGCGCAAGACAGGGCCAAGTACCTAGTGAGGCTGGCCTCGCTGGCTAGTAGTCGCCCGTCAAGCTTTTCGGATAAGTTACCAAGTTAACCACCACCCACCTCTTCACCTCTGTTGGCACCTACCAAGTATACACAACCTACACCCCATCTACTTGTAATGGTTCTTTTTCTGTGTCTCCTCGGCGAGGCTGAACCATGGATGGGAGGCAGCGACAACGGCGTGTTATTCGGTTGAGACGATTTATTTCATCCTGCAACACTGCATGATAGACTACATGAACCATATCGAGGGCTTTGCTCTTCCTCTTTTTTGGAGGAAAGGCACATGCACCACATGCTACCGAGTACTACAACTATGTCTGACGGCGAGTATCCGAGGCATCTTCAGTTCAGTTCGTTCAGGAAGTCGCCTCTCCGAATCGGGGACGGCGGACCAGACAGACTGCTGCTCTCTTCATCTCTTCTCTCTCCAGCCCAAGCCTGTTTAGGTATTTGCACTCACACACACCACACGCACATACACACATATTGCCTAGGATCTAGGTAAACACACACATCTACACACCCTGTCTTACCGACTGGGTACTCAACCATTATTGGGTTATACTCCCAAACACCAGCACCAACACCACACCAACACCACACCAACATGAGAAGTTCTTACCCGTACCCTTGCCATACCGCGATGTTAGGTAACGGATCGACCCTTCAAGCGAAACCTGGCCAGACGGATTGGGATAATTTCTACCAACTATTACAGTAGTGGAACTGCTTATTCCATCGCTGTCCAGAAGAGCAACTGAGTGACCTGCCTCCCCCCCCCCTCCCCGGACGCACCGAACTCGTACACAGTACTGTTGTCAAATCTCCCTTCCCCTCATTCTCTCTCTTTCTCGCTCCTTCTCTTGACTCGAGAGCTGCTCAACTGTCCAACAATTGGGAACTCGCACTACTCTGGCTCCGCTGCATCAGTGTCGATATGGCATAGCCGCGCCCGCTTGCACCCCTAGGACGAAAACCAGAGCGTTTACAGTGAAAGGCTGAATATAGTCTGGTCATCACTCACGCCCCGTTGACCGCTGAATGGATCAACGTCACGATCGTCGTATCCCTGGACCGCCTATATCAATATCATCCATCCCTCTTCCCCTTCCGTGTGACCGCCTAGGCATTCCATCGACATACTCCCCATAGATAAATACCTCATTGCCACTCCCTTGACGGACCGTTCCCTTCCTTCCACGCCGACATTCGATTCCAGATCGCTGCACATCCTTGCACAAATCTGCACATTGGAAAACGGGACAGCGAAGCCGAAGCCACAGCCTGCTCCTCCCGTCCAACATCTCCCCATCAAGGAATAGTCCTCAATCATCCTTCTGCGCCGTCATCATCATGAGCACTTCCCACAGCTCTGCTTCTACCAACGAGACCCCCGCCAGGCCCAAAAACGTCGATACTCAGGGCGCACTCAGAGACGGCGCTCAGGCTCAGACGGATACTCCGCAAGCCCTGGTCGAGGTGAGAACAACAACCCGGATCTCCGGCGAAAGCTTTTTCCCCGGCAGCCGCTGATTGTGACTGACTCCCAGTACGGCGAATACCTCGGCCGATGCATTGCCATGGCTGACCTCGAGCCCGCCACGTCGCAGACGGGGAAGAAGCGGAAGCGGACTCCTGCTTGAGACGATCCCTCCAGCCTGGAATGGAAGGAAGTCGTTCGATATCTGCTAAAGAGTTTGGCTAAGCGGGAAGCTTTCTCACTGTGCAGCGGGCAGGAGCGGCTATCGCTAGTGGCAAGACCGCCCAAGTGTGGTTGGGAGGAACCTGGCAAGGCAGGCGTTTGCTGGAATCTCGCTTCCAGAGAGGGTATTTCCCTCTTTTGTATTCATGTTGTGCGAAGCTGCACGCGTGTAGTTAAAAGTTGTCGGTGATCGACTTGGTCTTGGAACGAGTGTATTTTATCAGAAATAATCTGCTGCGTCAACGTCTCGGTAGCGCCTCCGGACTCTGCCCGTCAGCCCGGTGTTGTTCACAGTACCTGTGGTGATACCATTTGTATAGCCGTTCCCGTCATACCACCCTTCTGCGAACGGCTTCTCCGTCCTTGTTGTCAAGTTGTGAAAGACATCAACATGCATTGCCCTATCATATTCACCGCTCGCCTGCCATCCATATGCAACGGGTGGGTTCCCCAGGACCGAAACGATCTCATCACCGCGCAGCAGACACCCGCGGTCGCCCAACTCTCTCAGAAGCGTGTGATAAGCCTTGGCGATGGCGAGATGGCTGTCGTCCTTGATGATCGCCTTGTTCGCCCAGAGGATGACGGCCACCAGCGTGCAAAAGTGGATGAATGGGATGACTGCCAGGATAGCGCCCGCGTACCTCCACGTCACGTTGAGGACTTGAGCCGCAATCGGCTGCTCCTTGCTGATGACCGTCTTCCTGTACATGGCCGGAGAGTTGTCCATGAAAGAAATGGCGCCCATCGTAAACGACGAGATCAGGTCGGCAACGTCCCACGGACCAAGTGCCTCCGGAAAGCTCATCTCGGACGAGTTCGTGTAGACCGCGTATTCTTCCTTGCCATCGGCCGTCGGAGGGTTGTCACTCCATCCAATTGCCCCGGCGAGCATCCTTCCAACCACATCTTCCGTGAGATATTCGCTAGTGAGCTCATTGTGGTCGTCCTGGACTTGAGGCTGGGAACACGTCAGCCTGTATCGAAAGGGACAAAATCTGATGGTAATGGTAGCGGGAAGAATGAAGATCAGGAAACGCCCTAGCCAGAGGGGAGAACTCACCACCGTATTGTTGCAGATAAAGTATGTCCCGACTCCGCCGTCGTCGTCGTCGTCGCCGTTGTCATTGCTATCGGGATTTGGAGCAGCTTGAAAAGTGTGGATCTCAACGCACCGATCACCGCAGGTCGAGTTCAGCTTTGAGATGAATAAAAGCCCTCCCGGCCCTGGAGTTGCGGGGAGTGACTGGTTGACGTCTTTCTTGCCGTTGTTGTAGATGATGTATGAGAGATTGCCATACTGCCCTCTACTGACGGTATAGTCTTGGCAGGAAGCCAGGGACTCAATATATCGAGAAGAAATAATCACTCTATTTGGGTCATCTGCGTTCTGATCCTGGAAGTAGTAGCGCGTATACCCTTGAAAAGACGAGTAATAGCCCTGTTGCTCCTCCACATCATAGCCCTGGTCCAGTGGAGTGGTGACTTCTCCTCGAATCCCCCATTGTTGAACTGCCGCCAGGTCAGCCGAATAATCGCCAGTCGACAGTGAATTCAAATCCACTATGCTGGTGCTCCCTGTCTGTGTGAGGACGTAATCGGCGGACGTGTCCATATTGTAATTCAGACCGATGATGCCGACCAGTACGGTGACAGCCAAGTGGACGAGAAGCCACAAAACACAAAGAATCTGCGTCCTGGACGGCAAAAACTTGCGTTTCTGATTCCGCGCCTTCCAGAGAAGCTTGATGACGTTCAAGAGGCTATCGCAACCCATGACGAGATCGAAGGTCTCAAGCGGCCGATAACACGCCGCCAACATTCGCCAACGGAGAAGTTTCGCGTAGCTTCGCAGTGACGCCGCCAAGTTCACCCCGAGAAGCAGAGAGACCCCCGTTGTGAGCGCATTGAAAACCCTGCGTTGAGGCACGTTGATGGTGTCCTTCTTGGAATATGCATAGAGGATCGAGAAGTACACCACACAAAGGGCCAAGGTGTTGATCCATTCGCCAATAGTCAGTCGCAAAAGCCGATTTCGTTGTTTGTGATGTCTATACTCTCTCGACGTACTATGGTCGGGATACTTCAATTCCAAGATTTCATGAAGCGAAGGGGTAACGGAATTGTATATGCGTTCCTTCCACACGCTCAAGTTTGAGTATCTTTTGTTGTTGGGTGGTTGCTCCACGGGTCTTGTGCCTGACTCTTTTGTTCAATCAGAGGGGGAATCCGCACCGTGAGAATTAATAGACTCACGGGAAAGAGTTTGTGCAACCGAGACATTGTCAGAGTTGTCAGTATTGACCCTTGTGGGAGGCGAGGGCGGCGAAGGAGGCGGAGATATCTCGATGATAGGCACATTTGTTGTTTCTGCATCGTGAGCTGAATTCTGAACATCATTCTGAACTTCTTCATGGGCTTCTCCTCGTCCATCGTTTGCTCCGTTCTCCTCATCTCTTCTTGGGATTGGGCTGTAGCTCGCTGGCGCCTCGGCGACCATCTTCACGGCAAATCTGGTATCCGTGCTCCGCCTATACTTCGTCACTGACTGACATTTGCTGGCACGAGTTCGTGCAGGAGCGTACGAGATAGAGAGAGGATATAACCAGGAGAATCTTCAGCCTCAAGTCTGGATGCCGCTAGCCAAAAACGTCGGTTAAATGTTGCTTGATAAGACCCCTCTTCCCGCACATCTCGAACCCGGGTCTCGCACCCAGCAATGGGGCGCGATCTGATCGAAGGTCGATATTGGAAAAAGCAGGTGGCCTTAGGTTGTGTGTCTGGTTTTTGCCCAGGGGGCCGTTTCAGGACATATTTCCAGCAACCGGCGGGCCACGCTAGCGTAGTAATTTGCTAACATCCCTGCAAACTCCCATGTCAACCGCGCTAGCCTTGTGATGTAGACCCAAACATCAAGGTCAAACTGTCAAGATGGCATGGCTGGTATTATCCGGGAGACGTTTCGTGCTTCATCCAAGGAAGGAAATGGCTGGAACGACTGTCCGCCTAGCGGATATGCAAGATATGGCGTACCTAATGTGGTAAATTGGTGTCAGGATGGCACACTCACGACACGCCACGCCACGTAACGTATGCAGGCGCAAGAGATGAGCGGGTTCTCAGTACTCCGTATTCCGTACCCAGAATGATGTGCGGCATGCAATCTTCGCGCATCATTATTAAGCGCTATGTGGTGGAGAAGGGGAACGTGTTTCGCGGAGGTTCAGTACAAATTGGTAAGTAGGTCAGTTTCACAGAGCACGCCTCCTTGAGTACCAAGTTGTAGAGCCACTACCTACTGAGGCCACGAGAGCGTTTGCGGAGGGGCTCCGCGGAATTTGGCCCGTACCGAGCTGCCTCTGCGAGCTTTGAAACGCGCACTAAATCGTGAAATCGGACTCCTCGCAGCAGGAACGGAGTCAATCTCGGTGGAGGCTGGGATCTCGAATAGCCATCGTTGAATGAATAACCCGCTGGTTCGTCCCAGTCAAGGCTTTGTCAGCGGAGTTACATAATGCGCATAGAACTCGAATGCTTCCATGTTCTCGGTGTACTGTGGTACGAAACATCTGCGAGAGGAATCAACATGCGCCGCCTGCTTACGCTGGGGCGCACTGACGGACCGATTGATTTGCCTTCCATTCCAAGACTTCATCTTGCCGCGTCCAACAATATTCAAATGAGGTGACGAGCACTCCGTGTGTCGTCCAAATTTGCAGTATCCAAGTCCGGATATTCCTGCTAGCATAGATTTATGGTTCTCCAGACCAATGTCCCTTCAAACAAGTCGCTTTGCGAAACTGCAAGCCAGAAGAGAAGCGTTGATGGGTTGCATTTCAAGCAGCGGTAGGTAGCCAGTCATTGATAACCTCTGGGCGGATACAAGGCATCACCAGCGCCCTCACTCCGAGTTGCCGGGCGAGGCGCAGGGACGCCCCCCTGTGGAGGGGTGCCAGAAAGATTCCCCGAAATCTTGATAAATGACTGACCCATGGGAGTTAGCCCTCTAGATGTGGACCATGGTTTGGATTTGAAATTGGTCCGAATAAGGTCCTGGAGCGTGGCGCCGTTTATCGAGCTGCGAACAGGCAAAGCATACCATGTGGCCTCGTTCACAGTGATCATTCGCGCCAAACGCGACTGTCTGGTGGTCGGCCACTGAGATCCGAGGTGTGCCCAACGGTTACACAAAGGCGAGCCGACGCTGGTGCAATTGCGGACGGGTACGAGGTACAAGCTCGTTGACGACCGTGCCTGCGGACACGACCATGAAATATTTCGATCTTTCAACTCTTCTTGCTATCGGCAATAGAAGGACCTGCAGTGTCGGTACCTCCGACCGCAGTCTTTCCAAAATCCAATCCCAAATTTGACCACTCGTCTTTGGCCATGAGACCCTTCTCCATTCGGCACCCAAGATACTCCTTTGCCAGTAGCCTGCACTCTTCATTGTTCTTGCCGGGAGGGTTTTGCCTTCTCAAACATCGTAGATATGCGGAGATGACGTGCTTACATTCCGCATCGTGATCAAGCGGGAAGGAACCGCGCTCTGGAGGTGTTGGTTTGTAGTTGACTGCGCCGCCACCTGGCGCACCGAAGCCAGACATTTTGAGTGTGTTCAAACAGATTGACAAGAGGACCTTGTTTGGGGGAGGTAGGCGTCGTGACCTCTGGCGTGGCTTGAGTGTTGCAAAGAGTTGATTGTATTTGGAAGTTTTGTTTGAAGAAACTGTTTTGCGAGAGATCAGAAGAGCTGAAACTCCTAAAAATCCGGTATCACGCGAGGCACGGTATCAGCGTATCAGCGTATCACGTGCTTTACGCGAAAAATACGAAACTCGACCAAACAGACGAAAAGTTCTCGTGACATAGGGACATTGTTGTTCAACAGACACATAGTTGTTCTACTCGCTACAAGAGAAATGTGCCCGAAGGAGCCAGGTATGGAAATAGGCACACAAGCAGCAAATAGACCACCGCTTATCAGTATCTCAGGCTCGTTCACCCGTGTGGTCACATCCATCGACGAAAAGGCGGAACTAAAATAAAATTAGCTAAGGCATCCAGAGAGATGGAGTGTCAAAACGAGGAAAGGAAAACAACAAATTCAGTTCTCCAAGGTGATGTATGTTCGACATGGGAATTCAGTAAGAACACAGCGAAATACATGAGATCATCAGGATGGACGCATTGACAGAAGGTATATTCTTACCTGCTCTGGTCCTTGGCCCTTCGAATTGAACTCGAATACATTAGATTTACCTGCGCCATCCATCCGTTGGTCAGTTCAGCTGAAATGATAGGATACTGGTGAAACAAGGAAAGCATAAGCATCTGTTTCAGGCTATTAGCAACTCGGTCAGCGAGCGGTCGTAAACAGAGCAGTCCAGGGGAACTATACCTCATTAAATCAGAATTTTCAGTGTTAACGTTCATTTCCAAGCAGAAGCTCGGTTCAAACAGTGTGAATAGTGTTCATCATAGGATGCAAGTCGGGACGAGAGACACAGGGGGCGCGCAAATACCTAGAAATAGCGCTGTCAGCACCGCCTCACAGATCATGTGCATTTCAACAATATTTTATTCAAGCAGTCAATCAGCTGACGAGTTCTCAACAAGTGTCACAGCCCCCATCCCATCCACAAGATTGTACGTCTTGCTTTTACAGATGGATGGGACCACGCACGCAGTCTGTCCGCCCGTTCGTTCAAGTCTTCGTCATGGTAGAAGGGATGGAGTAAAGGGGAGAGACGAGCGGCGAAGAATATACCTGTCACAAATTCTCGTTAGCGTCCCGAGCCACTATGCAAAGAGAATGCGAGAATAAAACAAAGGTAGCACATAGGTCAGACAAGGCTGAAACTTGTAATAGACAGATTCCACATGGTAAATTAAGTCTGAGGAATGCCATTCGTGTCACAGGGTCATCACCAAAGGGGATAGAGGAGAAGTTCATGTAAGGTCGTACCTTTAAAGAGAAATGCTGTGCAGTCGCCAATGGCATATGGAAGTCATTCAAACACCTGCCACGGCTTTCAAGCAAGTCAGCCGGCTTTCTCCAAAGGCAGAAGGTAGTGAAAGGATGGCAGAGCAGCGGTCAGCGTAATTCTAGAGATAAATTTTGATCCTCACAGAACATTAGTTCTTGGAGTTGGATTGTACATGTTCATCATTCAGAAGGGAAACAGGAACAGGGGAGTGCTAACCTTGACAGCAAATATCGGGAGCTAATCCAGTGCTCGCCTGGCGACTACAACGTTAAATGCAAGGAATGAACAACAGATGAAATGCGAACTTTTGGAGAAAGCGAACTGCGGACAAAATACTAAATTCGCCAAGCCTACATTTCCAGCCTAGCGAGCTTGGCACATCAGAGCCTCGTTCAAAATCTCAGCCTCGCGTCTTCGACGACAAGTTTACCGTCTCTCTTTTATTCCATGCGGTTTCTGCATCAACCGGGATTAACATTATGTCGGGCCTGTTTCCCAAAGCTCCCTCGTCAGCCTCAAAGATCAATGTGGCTTCAGGCGAACTTCCGCTTTATGTTACTGCCTCGCAGGCTCCCACCAAGAAATCTCCATGGCGGACCATCCGTGGAGTGGAATACAATCAATACGTGACAGCCATTCTACCTGATGAGTTGTATCATCTCATTTGGGAAAAGGTTGAGGCCAACATTACACATATCGAGTATGCGAAGGTAATTATGAAGTTGGAGGATGTACTCAAAGGGGATTTTTTTACAGAATATATTAAGAGAGGTGAGATCAACTAAACGCTGTCTCCCGTGGCCAAACCTCGAAGATGCGTCCAAACTGTGTGCAGGAATCCTGACCCTCTTTCCGGACGCTTAGGAAACATTCTCATGCTCTCAGAGGGTGAAGCAGGGGTTGATAATGTCTACTCGTTGAAGCAAGGTATGCGAAGCCAACTGGCTTGCCGAAGCAATCACTTGACATCCAAACGGAGCGGGCCAGCGGCATGGGCTGATTGGCATACCAGGAGTCCTGAGACTGGAGCTCTCGAAAGATTCATACGAGCGAGCTGGCCTGCAGGGTAAGCCCATACCTTCTGGCGGCAGCAAGCATGTCAAGTTGAGATACCGTGGGTCTCCCTTCCTGTTGTTTCTGCATTGGCGCCCTGCGATGCCGGGACCATAAGCCTAGGCTTAGATCGAACTGACTGGCTAGCAGTCATAGAGATCAACCTTCGTCTCCCTTCAATGTTGCACGGCAAGAAAGGCTTCGACCGACTCGTTTGGGCTGCAAAGCACGTTCTTAACCAAAGTCTCAACTGGCTTTTCTTGGATCTCAATCCAAACACCATAGGTAACACCTTCTAAACTGTGACTCAAGCTCTATCCGGTGGTGCTCATGCTCCCTACAGATATCTCGACTCAAAACACAACGCCTTTGAGCACCCACCATCCCACGATTCACACGTTAAGGCCATCAACAAGAAGTCTACCAAACACTTTGACTCCTTCTACGCTACTTACCATACCCGACGGAGTTTCCCTTCTCTCTGTAGAGGCACATGAGCCTTTGTGCGATATATTAGAATACATCGATATGCTCTCGCTGGCTTCGCCTCGCCTCCAAGCCACCGACCAGACTCACCCGTTCCTCAGCCGATATGAGGTGCCTGACCTCTCCGGCGATCTTGACCCCAATGTCTCCAATAGACTGGGACAATCTGTCAAACTTCTTACATGGACCGGCCTGATACCGTCTCGCTGGATATTGGAGTTATTGTGCGCTGTGATGTTAGTTCCCCCAATCACCACCGGAAATAAGTCGCGTGGTTCAAACCCTCTCCCATTTTGACGCTCTTACTTTGTGTGTTTACTGCTAAACTCGATCTAAACAGAAGATACTCCCGAACCGAGAACTTCGGAGTACTTCCGAAGCAGCAACAGTGGCTCGCAATCAGTGTTTCCTCCCACAAAACACAAGCAGTCAATCAGGTTGATGGATATACCATCTTACTTCAGCCGGCCCGCAATACAGAACAACCTCGGAATTTTCACCCAAATCGCCTAACACCTACCACTTCTGCAAACATGGACGTTGTCACGCAGGAGGGATTACAAGGTACCCCACACCAAGAGCGAAGCGAGGATGTGAATATGACGCCAGCACCGGTGCCCGACAAAATCCAGCAGACTCCGGAATCTGCGCCATCCCGAACCGGATTTCAATGCTATCTCTGTGCGGAGTACATTGACAGTCTGACGTAGGCAGGCCGTCATGAGGTTGTCGATCCCTAAACCTTCTCAGAGACGTGACCAATTTTAGCTCTTGGATTCGGACATCAACAATCCGGTCGAAGCACGATCGCGAATGAGTGCATCCTTCGCTGGATTTGCCAAAGTGGAGCGATGAATTTGACCTCTTTCCCTGTTGCGAGTCGTTCCGCATTCTTGAATCACAGTCCGGCTCAATAAGAGAACCTGAAGGCAGGGTGGTCATCACCAAGATTGTTGAGCTCGGTCTCTGACAAGTTGTATCGATAATCCCGAGCGCCCTTGTCTCGGAGCTTGTTCTCTCTTCTGAGATACCATAAGAGCACGCACGAAGCTAGTGCTCCAGCTGAAAGAAGTCGCACACCTGTCCCGAAACCTGTTGGGTATGTCGGAGCTTCCGATTGGAGGTATATGTTGCTTCCCACGATGCCACCAATATTTCCAATGGCTAACTGCATCGCGATTCCCACGCCGCGCTTGTAATGGCCGCCTAGGTTGTTGCTCAACCATCCGACGATTCCTGGCTGTGCTACAACGATGCCGCATTCGAGGATATAGAGGGCGAAATAACGGACTCCAACTGAAACCGAGAAGTATGACAATAAGATGGCGTATGCGATGATGGCGAGGACACACCCACCAACAATGAACAAGAATCGGTGTTTGAGGTAGTCGGAGACGAAGGCACAGCTCAAGCAAACCACTGTCCCCACTGCGTAAAGGGGTATTGTCATCACCTGGGCTTTGGTCGAGGTCCAGCCCAACTCCAAGAGTATGGTTGGCAGGAAATAAGCGAAACCATAACTGGTCGTCAGGATGCAAAAATACGCGAAACTTGCAATCCAGATCTTGACATCGCCGAAGCAACGCTTTATCGCCTGTCTGTCCAGGATGTTCATCTCGATGCTTTTGACGTCCGATGCCAGTCTCTGCGCCCAGAACTGTCGTTCATCTTCGTTGAGAAACTTTGCAGTCTCTGGCCAGTCGGGTAGGAGCCAGTACGCTGGGATTGCTACCGCAATGGTGATCAACCCTTCTGTGATCAAGATCCATCTCCAACCGCCGTAGCCGGCGATTCCGTCCATATGAGCGATAGCATAAGCCAAAAGACCGCTGAATGCTCCTGTGACGAGGGAAGAGCCATAGAATATGTTCAGTCTCCACTGAAACTCGTGCCTTTTGTAAAACATTGTCATCAAGTAGATGGACCCGGGGTAAACACCTGCTTCAAGACCACCCAGGATTACTCTGCACACAACGAGACCGGCATATGATCTTGTCAAGCCCTGACACATGGTCACGACGCCGAACGTGAAGACCGAGAGGCTCAGGAACACCGAAGGTCGAATCTTCTTGATCAGGATATTCGCAGGAATCTCCAACAAGATGTACAAGATGAAGAAGACAAACAGGACAACACTGAAGTCTTGGCCATGCATATGGAGATCTTTCTCCAAGCCCTGGATCCGTGCATTTGCGATGTTGACTCTTCAGATCCTTCAGCATGAATCTCACTCGGGAAGTATAGCAAGACCGACCTGTCAAGAATAGTGCACATGAACAACAGACACAGCATGGGCAACAAGTTGAGGTCGCACTTTAAGAGTATGTGTCTTTCAGAGACCCGCACATCATTTGACTCCTGCCGGATCTCTGTCGCGACATTCTCAAACTCATCCTTCACCATCGGCTTAGTTCTCTGTTGAGCGTCCAATGTCTCCATTTCTGCTTTCGAATGGAAAGGGCACGGCATAAAGCATAGCAAACCTTTCACCTCTAAGGGCAAGCGACGACAGTGACGAGGCACATGGCTCTGGGAAGGGGCAGAGAAACTATCACAAGGGCGATCTCCCTTCATCTGTGCATTTACAGTGACGGCATCTTGGTCAATTGTACCACGGCTCCCGATGCCTAGTATCGAATTGTCGTCACTCACGGAGTTCAACCGTGGCGTTAATGCAGAGTTACCAAATCTAGCATGAAGTAAAGCGGATTACAACATGCGCTGTAAAGGCTTCCGCTAACGTCGAAGCGAGAGCCATGGCCGCTGAGTAATAAGATAAATGATTGTGTAAGAATGCAGCAGACACCAGTCTCGACCAGAGTGGGCATTTGTCTACACCCAGAACGGCTAACCTGTCACCAGAGCATGTACTTCCGATGCGAAGCGTTTGAACCATAATTCTCTACCAACTACTAGCTACTCTTTCTTTGAGCACACATGCGCCGAACAGCCAGCCACACCTCGAGGATCTGGCAAGCAAGTCTCTGGGTCAGGTGGTAGCATCTCCTACCGGAACCTGAAAGCACGGAGTGCCGCCTACCGAGGGAGAGAGGGAAGTTTTACCCAGACGGCTCTTGTATCCAAGGCCACTGTGCGGCGCCTGACTCTCAACCTGTGGGGGTTAGGACCAGGCCTACACTTTCACGAACATATCAATCGAGACCAGCGGGCTTATATGAGACGAGATCGCCTCGCGCTGCAAGGCTTAGAAAGTGGATTACGTGTGTCAGGGCCAGTTCTTCCACCTCTCCCTGGACGAGGATGTCGCATTACCGGCCATACCATCCTCGTTGTGTTTGTTCACTAATACCTGATTTCTGGGCACACCATGCCGAAGCAATATCATCCTGTGGTCTTTCTCCTGCAGCCATCATCCTCCCAATCACAGAGAGAGAAAGAGCTTCAAGTTTCCGAACGCAAAGCTCACGCTGCTAGGGTTGCACATGCCAGACGCCGCCAAGTGCGAGGAATCGGACAGGTCAGGCAGGGGCGAACCATTAGCCGGGCGGCTGATGTCTCAGTTGGCTCAAGGAGGTCTAGCCAGTCTTCAGATATCACTGGAGGTTCGTGGGTGTTGAATTTAACAAAGACTTTACTAAGGACCGCAAACTAACCCTCCTGCTTCATGTTACGGTAGGTGAATACAGTGGAGATGAAACAACACAGGACGACGGAGGGTTGGACCTCCTAAGCGTAACTCAACAAAGTCCTCTGCAACTTTCACAACACGGCTCTTCTGATCCGTTCAGCTCTCAAGCCATTCCCATCACTCCGCGAGTGAACCAGGTCTTGCAATATGCAAGCCAGTCGCTGGCCAGCCTCTTTGCGACTAGCTATACAAGACGGCTATTTTCTGGCCCCTTGAAACAATCTTTCAATCCCAAGGGCGTCGGAGCCATTCAGGATGTTAAATCGCTGCTCTGGACCTGGGAATGGTCATCAGCCGAGGAGGGGTCACTCTCATCCTATGTGTCAATGTACGCAACATCCATGACTCGGTTTCTGCCCAAGCAAATACACAAAGAGTACTCGGTGATGGCTCTGGGCCTCCGAACACGAAGTCTGGAGGTGTTGCGAAAGAGGATTAGCTACTTGGACGAGACTCGCGGACCCGACATGGCACTTATTATGAATGTCATACGGCTGTTCCGCATGGATTCGTTCGCCGGAGACGTCAATGCAGCAAGACTACATGCGAACATGATTCACAGTTTCGCCGAATCGGTCCCGGAACTGGATCAAAAGGCTCATTTCATCGGTATGACGGCGTACAATGATATCGTCTCTGCGACGAACCAGTTACGGCGGCCGTTGATGAACTATAAAAATTGGATCCAGACATTTTTGGATGAATGCCGGCAGACCATTGCTCAATATCTGCCGCCGGAACCCACGGACGACGAAGATATTCATCACTCTGTCTCATTGTACAAACTACGCACAGTCATGAAACGGCTCCGATGGTATCTGTCCATGGGAGGAGGGAAGGCAGGGCTCGCACCGCGTACGTTACGGGAAGCAGAAATGATCCGTCGCTGGATAATGGTCTCGGCGCAAAAGAACGTGGCAACTCTCTTGCACCTCTACGCGGAATTGACAGAGGATGACGGTCCCACTCTGGAGCTCCATCTCACCAACATTGCCGTGACTCTGACGTTGATCATGTCCCTCCAAAAGAGCATCTGGGAGGCGACTCTCAACGGCACTGATATCTGCGATTCTTCCCGCGTCATTCTGCCACGATTGGAGCGAATCATGACGTCGATACTCGAGACTGCGACCCTGGAGGAGCTCCATTACTACCGAGAAGCGTATTTTTGGGTCTTCTTCGTCGGAGCCCAGATGGAGCAGCAGAAGGTCAGGGCAAATCATCCCAGCCCATATCAGGCAAACCAGACGCTTCCGCACCCACTATGGTTCAGCAACATGCTTGCACAGCAAGCGCGCTTTCTGGGCCTGTGGAAATGGTCCGGCGCTCGCGAATTGGTGCAGCAATTTGTTTTCAACCAGTTCTGGGACCCGGCCCCTAGCATCTGGTACGAGACCGTCGTCCGAGACTTTGGCAACCGAACCGAGATGGCTCTGGCAGTGCACAGTGATGGTGAATTAATCCAGGCGCTCCGAGAAACTTAAAGGTACAATCTCGGCCCAGGGATAGCGCCTTGCTTGGGGCAGCTCAATCCTAACTGCACGATGTCTTACTGCATCTTGAGGCTAGAAAGGTAAACGATGATGTATACTGAGGACTCGAAAGTTGATTCAATCCACAGCTGTGAAAAGTCTAGCTATGTGTTAGTCCCTGTGAAAATCATGATTGTTAAAGCATGCAGCGTTGGATGTTCCCCTTTCAAGTTTCAGCCTTGTCGGATATCTGGGGAATGCTTGGCGGCTACATCTTGCTTTGTGGTACAACGACCATTAACAAAGAAAACCAAAATATTGCAGTCAAACATGCTCCGAATACCAAAAAGGATGTGGTCCGAGCAGTAGCTTCTTTACACATTTGACTCTTCGTAGGCACAAATGATCCCTAAGCTACCAGCCCCTTGTGGTGGAGATGTGTATATATGTATATTGAAGCCTTCAGTCCCCACATGTGTCCCTTTAGCTCCAAACAGTAGCAAGGCTCACCCCTATCCCGCATTGTTATGAAGAGCCAACTCCGTGCGACTAGATTCGAAGTAGATTCCTCTGCCCGCCTCAACACGAATCTAATCCAGAAGCCCTCACCCACCAAACCAATAGACTTTACGTAGTTAAATTCACTCATTAGGAGGTAGTGTGCCCATCCGCTGTCACCAGTCACTGCCTTACAAAAAAACAGTGAATACGACTTTGTAGGCAGCAAAAAATGTCTCTTGGCATGTCGCGCAATCCAGCAAAAGAACAAAAAACTCATCTTGTGAGAAAACCCCGCGAAGGATGTTTTTTTTTTGTTTTGTCGACTCCCGGACTCGAACTGAGCCCTTCTCCCCTCTCGTCGCGGACCCCTCCTGCTCAAACCCCTCCTCTTTCTTCCTCCTGAGCGCCCCACCCCATATTTGCCCTCCCCCGTCTCTCGCTAATCTGAGCCTCGTGTGTTGTGTAGTGGAGTGTAGTGTTGTGGGTAACAATGACTGGGTTACCTGATCAAGTTCCTGTAGTGACCAAGGTGGTACTTTGAGCCCGCATTATGGCAACCCAACTCTTGTTTTATCGTCAGATTGATTTGATGCAGGTAGGATCCGATCGATTGTTGGAAGTAGTGTGGTGGTCAAAAAATATATTCTTTGAAAACTGGGTGGGTCCTGGGTGGGTGTTGTAGTGAAGGTATGGCAGAACATGTGACGATTGGTATAGTGAATTCTGAGCTGGTCCCCGGAGTCCCTACTCCCTAGCACTTTGGTCAGCCGCCAAGATGCCCCGAGGAAACGCATGACTGCTGCAGTTCTGTGAGCTCAATTTCCAATCTCGAGCATACACCCACGCGGCCACGCCTCCTTCAAAAGCAACCGACAGAATCCTCTACCTGGTGTGCTCACATTCTCTGTCGTCAATCCAGGAAGCTGTCGTTCGGTCAACAAGTGCAAAAACGAGTCGAGTTCCTCGCTGTACATGCGACCACGAATGGTCTGACTCCCTTACCGCAAACCAAGTACGCAAGATATCGAGCTTCTCCGTCGCCAGCGACAAGATACTGTGTTTGATCGACGGCCCTACAAGGAGGCTGAGAATCACTCTAGTCAGAAATTGATAGATGATGCCACCCAACATCCCGCCGGCACATGGCAAAGTTTGAATCCATCCTGGCTTCATTAGTGGAGCCCCGTTGTCAGCAGTCGAGAGTTTCTGACACCGGGTTGCTGGGGCAGAAACGACAGATTCCATTGCCTTAAGCGTACTTCTTGTGAGTTGATCAGCTAAGGTCTTCTCCTTCCTGGCAGGCGTTTCAAGCATCATCCATGAAAACTCCAGTTCCGTCCTGGTGGAAACGCACCGCAGTTACCCAGAGCGGGCCAGACGGGAACCAAGATAACTTCATGCCTAGCATACCCCGAATGAATCCAGGACAGTATCCAGAATGGATGGTGCTCGAGACAGCAAAACTCCTGTGGGCATAGATATTGTCACACGTTCCCATAGGCTTGGAAGCATAGCGCCCGCCAGTCGTAAACAGGTTGGCTATCTGGGTCACATACCAGGACATCTTTGAACGGTCGAAAGGACATCCTTGGTGCGAGAGGAAGAGTCCAGGTTAGTGATTCTCGCATGGCATTCATTGTAGACGACCTTTTCCTTTGAAACGGATGTCCTCCAGTTGGTCACCGTAGCATACTGCTGGACCATGGACAGGGAGGCCGCTGTGTCAGATAAGGGGCGAAAGGGTTAGGTTGTGAAGATGAATGTTGTCGTGAGACGCCAAGGCGTGATGCGAGGGTGTGATGCCAAGACCACGTCAACTACGCGAAACCTCACTCTACTCCACCGCATAGACATTCCTTCTCGCTTCCGAATGATCCACCGTTCTTTTCCACGTGACCACGCTAGCGTTTAAAATGGCGTTCCTTGTCGCTCTTGCCGTCCTGGCAAAATGCTGCCTCTTCACAGCCGACTTTCTTCTCTCAAATATCATCGCCTACTACATTCTCCAGAAGGGCATCGGCATGATGGAGGAGTTCCAGTCCGAGACAGACAGCGACTATACCAGTTACTGGCGTGACTGGGTGAGTTTCATCCTCAACAAGCCTCACCACTCTCATCTCAGATAGAACTCACTTTTACCTGGGGTTGATAGGGTGTGTACCATTGACTGACTTCAATCCCAGTTCATCTCCTCACGTGGCAACGAATACTTCTGTGAGATCGACGAAGAATACATTACCGACCGCTTCAACTTGACTGGCCTTAACACGGAAGTCCACTACTACCAACACGCTCTTGACCTCATCACTGATGTATTCGACCTCGACTGTGAAGATGACATGCGCGAGACAATCGAGAAGTCCGCACGTCACCTCTACGGACTCGTCCATGCGCGCTACATTGTCACCACCCGCGGCCTGGCCAAGATGGTCGAGAAATTCAAGAAGTCTGACTTCGGCCGTTGCCCACGCGTCATGTGCGAGAGTCACCCGCTTTTGCCCTTTGGACCAAGCGACAACCCTGGCCTTAAGACCGTTAAGCTCTACTGCGCCAAGTGCGAGGACATCTACAACCCGAAATCATCTCGCCATGCCGCCATTGACGGTGCTTACTTCGGTTCTTCCTTCCACAACATCTTGTTCCAGGTCTATCCCGCCCTTGTCCCAGTCAAGTCCAGGAGACGCTACGAGCCTAAGATCTTCGGCTTCAGAGTTCATCATGCAGCGGTCTTAGCTAGATGGCAGGATGTTGTGAGGAGAGAGCAGCGAAAGCGATTGGAGGAGGCCGGCGTGGTTGCGGAAGGGCAGCAATTGTTCATCGAGGATGCCGACAGCAGCGATGGGGCAGGGGATGATCGCATCGAGGAACTGGACGGCGACGAAGTTTGCGATAATGGCGATAGGAGAATGGCTGCCCTCAGTGGCGAGACCGAGGGTGTGGGATTGTATGGCGGTGCGCCTGTTACTGGCCAGGCTGCGAACTGAAGAGTGGAATCACGATGCGCATGGAGCAAACGGCGTTATGAAGTCATGGAAGATGGATGGAGCGAATCGGTTGCACAAAGCGTGAAGGCGTATCATTGCTTGCAAAAAGATTGCTTGAGCGCATCGGCATCGGCGTCCTGGCGTCCTGGCGTCCATCCTCACATGGAGAGCACTGAACACACGGGAATTCATGGCTGAGTTATGAAAGGGCGCGAGAGGCTCGATCAATCACCAACAGCAAGGGTGTGATGCGCAAAGGGCGCGGCTGATCGATGTCACAGCACACGTATGTACGAGGCTACTCAAAAACTGAATTTCTCCAGCTTCACTAAGCGGATCCGCGTTGTAAAATTTCTTCTTGTTGTGACCGATTAACAGGCGACATGCTGTTGCTGTATTGTGATGTGCTAACATTGCTGCTCAATAGGAGGCCCCCTTCCCTTCGCCAATTTAGGCCGCGTCGAGGTCCCCAGCATCAACCATGACGTTCTAGTTGGTGGGGTGGGGACAGTCGACGGGCTCGTGGCCCGAGACCTCTAATCTCGCCGTCTCCTCTTGCCCTTTCGCCCTGTATCCTCCTGCGCTTCGTCTACTTCTTCATCCTTCCCTTTTCTCAATTCGTCTGGCTGCAATCCCCAGGCCTCGGCATCAATCCAGTCCTCTCCGTCGGACCACTCGCCCACATGCCCCTCGGTTCTGCACCAGTTCCACACTTTGTCCCGCATCCTTTTCGCCTTGATGAGTTTTCCCAACACGGCCTCGTAACCACGCACGCTTTCTTCTTGTTTCTGGATATACATCATTAGAAGGCGGCGGGTCTCAATTAGTTCGTCGACGGGAAGGCCGAGGCGGGCTAGACTTCGTGGGGGCCTGTGGTTGGCTGCTAGAACTGGAGGAAGGAGGAATAACGGGTCAGGCTGAAGGAGGTAGGAGTCAATGGATGAAACTGTCGAGTCGGGGGAGAGAGGAGGAGTCGGGGCGCTGGAGCTGTTGTGCTCGGCGGCCAGGGCTCGAGTAATTCGTCGCGTGGGTTTTGGACGACTATCGTCTTCGGATGCTGCTTCACCCTCCTGCTCCTGTTGTGGCTCCTGTTGTTGTCGTTGTTCTTCTTCTCCTTCTCCTTCTTCTTCTTGGCCGTCTACGGGTAAGGTGATCGACGCCCCTCGTGCTTCCTCTGGATCATCCCCAGCCATCTTGTTTTTGGAAGCTGGTTCGCCGTCTTTTTTATGAATTCCATTCATTGTTGGACGATCGGATTCACCGGCTTCTTCTTTGGCAGGGTGCTCGGCCGCGATCTCAGCATGCATGCGGGACTTGCTAGTCATTATAGGGTGATGCCCGTCATTTGCGGTCGAGCTATTCTCTGGCACACCAGCCTCAGGATTGGCTGCACTCTGGTCCCTCCCCCCGTTCGCGTGGTTGTGCCTATTTATGCCGTTCTGGGAGGTCTCGTTCTTGAAGCCGCGCTTCCTCTTCTTTCCCGCTTGCGGTGTGGGCAGTTTGGGTTTGGGCTCAAATAGATCCCAATCGTCTGTACCTTCAGTACTCTCACAGGGTATCCACGGCTCATCCCCCATGAACTGTCGGTTCAGATTTTTGGCCCGCCAGAGGTTGGCTCTCTCTTGACGCAGTTTCTCTTCGGTAGATTTGATCATATCAGGGAGGGCACGGTCAATAAAGGGTAGAGACAGTGTAGGGTGACCCGAAAGCTCAGAGGGATGTTTCAAGGGACATAGCAGTTCTGACCCATCATATCAGCGGTTGTTCAACAGAGAGAATGCAGTTAGAGGCAATACCTTCGAGTCGGATGCCGGCATAAGCGTTCTCGTCTTCAGCGTCCGCATCTGCCTCGGCGTCACTTTCGCTATCTTCCAATTCGTCACCATACTCGTTGTATCGTCTCGGGTTGCGCTGCAGGATGTATCGCGTGTAGCCAGCATGTTCTATTTTCTGCGGTCGCAGTCAGCTCTCAGACTTCGAACACCCCACCCGATGCTCAGATCGGGACCTACTTGTTTATGGCCTTCTGGCCCGTGAGGATAAGGCAGAGCGCCGGCGTGAATATAATTTGCACCACGTGCTAATTTATGGCCTCTGTTCGTAGCCGCAGAGGTGACTTGATCCGTGGGACCTGGTCGAGTGGGTAGGATTAGCACAACATGGCGCGGCGAGCACGTCTCAAAGATGGAAGCGGGTATTTACCATCTCTTTCGCGCCGTAGAGTTCTTTTAAGCGCTGCGATTGTCTCTGCAATTTCCACATGTTGAGGAGGCATGTTGGCGGTCGAGAGGGTGTAGGGGCGCAGCCGTGCCGGACAATGTTCACAATACCAACCCCAGCAAGTCGGGGTGCAACTCGGTGGGGAGGGCGCGAACAAGAGGATGTAGGCGAGTAGCCAGAAGCAAAACAATGGTCAATTATCACTCAGCATAATGAGCGTACTATTCTGGGCCTGACATTGGAAGAATGAGTGGAGCGGACGAAGTGAGGAGGAGAGGAGGCTCGCAGGTCAACTGCCAAAGTTGACTACAAGTACACGAGAAGCCTCACCTGGAGCCACTCCTCGTCCGCTTGCCCACAAGCAACCCAGCAGGCAACTCGCCAATCACAATATGCGCCCTGGACTGAGCCTCCGGCAAACTTGCCCCGAAAAAAAGCCATCAGGGTTTTTCCGGCCTATGACGCAATAATGCCAGCAAAGCAATTGAGTTCGTGTTGTATGGAGTACCGTATCCTCTGCCTGTCTCTTGAGTCCTGGTAGCACTGAGCTCGCCGAGCTCGCTAGGTTCCCTTCTAGATCTGTTGTAGCCCGTCCCAGTCTTTTGGGCATCTATTGTCCCTCCGCGAAGAGCATACCTCGTCCCGTTACGCCTTCTTTCGTTCCTTCGGCTTCGTCATAGACCGGGTCACAGGCCTGGTTTCTTTTTTCGCATAGATTTCCGCAGTGAAGGGACTGGGAAACGTCAGTATTTGTACCTGCAAAACATCCAAATTGCCTCACTCTTCGAATCGCAGTGCACCGAGATACGTCACAAACACTTCCAGAGTCAACAGCACTCCGGCCGTCCGCCCATAATACAAGGCCGTGCCCAAGAACGACAGCGTACTCCCCCAGTACATGGGTGCGTCGGTGACGTTGAACGGAAATCCCTCAACTTTATGATCCATCAGGATGCCAAAGTAGTCTCCCAAGTACGTCCCGGTGACGCCCAGTGCGTACATGCTGGACAGCACGAGGACATTGCCAGTGAGAAACAGGACCACGCCGAGTTCCGGTTGATGTAATGGGAGGTAGATTGGCTGCTCTTCCAGTGCGGTCTTGTAGAGGGAGTCTCGAACGACGCCGATGGCGAAGATAGTCACTGCCAGAGCATAGCAGCCATAGTAAGGTGAACCAAAGGCCTTGGTCAAAAAGTGGGTTTTGTGCTCTGTTCTAATCAGTCATAAGCTTCCGTCACGGAAATATCTGTCTTACCCTGTCGGGCGACGATGCTTTCTCCAGTCAGTACTAGAAAACATCAACGCCAGGGTGTTCGGTACTTACTTCCAAAAGATTGGATTGAATGCAATTGCCGCCGCCGCAACTGCAGGATTATGTCAGTCCGTCTCAAATAGGCATCAGCCATGGAATTCGGGCCTTACCGTAGAGTGACGGTTGGGACGTGTCGATAAACCCAATCTTCTCTTTCCCATTCAGGCCAGCAAAGATGTTCTGAATCTTGTCCATCTTTGAGGCAGTTTGACCGAGCTTGTCTTTGTCTCTGTCGACGGTCCTATGCAGGAAAGGCAAGCAAGTGAAAAAGAAAACTAAGCAAAAAGGAAGAAACACGCGAACCTCAATCGAGGTGAACAGTATTTGCTTGGCGTAGATATGACGTGATGCTATCTACAAATCCTTTTAGCATTTACTACAAGCTCCCCCATTCATAACTTCTTCAAAACTGAATGGTTGTGTAATTAACAACTGCCGCCTTTTCGACCACCGCACACAAAACATACAGGATAGCAGACGGCATGCTAGTTCTCCAAATAGGGTTTTCTGCCTCGTGCCTTTCCCCAGGCTGCCGAAGAACGGCAATGGATTTGTGCCACCCATTCCCTCCTCGACTGACTTCCTCGCCTCTCTACAAAAGAAAGTTGATCTGTGAAGCTGCAGGGCAATGCGATGGGATATACTTTCAAGTCTATCGGGCAAGGAGAGCTTTCTAGCTCACCATTTCTGGCACCTCTGATGTTGTCAACATAGCTGCCAAATTGTGTTGCTCAGACCTTGACGAGCACATTCCCTTTCTTGTCAACCTTGACTCCATTCCCTCCCGGAAGGACCCGTAGAGTCTGTCCGAAATATGCATCAACCACATTCATATGCACTCCGATCCATTCATCCTTCTTATTCGGCAGTATTCTGTAGGTCAAAGTCTGCCGACTGATAGGGACCAAGCTGATCGCGCACGCTTTCGGCCCACTGAACGCAAAGTCCTCGCTCGCCTCCATGGACGCGTTAAATGTAAGAAAATGCATGCTCGGATTCTCGATCGTGAAAGATAACTTGTATGCCCCAATGTTCGACGACGGTCCCAGACTAGTCGAGGAAACGGTGAGCATGACTCTTGGCTCGGCCATCGGCGCCACGAGTCTAGGCACCTCAAGAAGCGTTGTGCTGACTTCGTCTGAATCTTGTCGACGCCAGCCAATTTGTAGGGCGAGTTCAACCGCCACCGTATGTCGGTCGCCCAGTATTTGTTTCTGGAGCGTGAGATCAAAGTCAAATGTTTCTGTGTGATCTGGCGTTATCACGGTCGAAATCGTCGCATTGGTGTCCTTCACCGCATCGCTCGTCTCCACCATTTTCCTCACGATCCCAGTAGTCGCTGAACATACCGCACCGCCTACGATTTGCGTGGCTGTGAGCAAAATAGCTTCAATAACTAGAGGCTCCGTGGCGAAGGAGTAAATGCTCGCCGCGACGGAGTACAGATGCCTTAAGCCGAGTGAAGTCGAAGCATCGGAGTGTTGTGGGGGCACTTCGAAGAAATTCGGCCAAGGCTCTTCGTCCAACCGGGGGATGAAGTCGTAATTGGCTTCAAATGGGCGAATGACTGCGACATCGACAGTCAGGGTCTTGGTCAGGATCGTCTCTTGTTCCGACTCGAGCCGGTATGTCGCGAGGAGTTCTATTTCGTGATCGACCGCGGCGGCAGTATCGGTTATGCGGAGCGACACCACAGCTTTTCCTGATGATGGGATTGTCCCGAGTTCACGGTCTGGTAGTGCCAGAACACCAGCTCCCGACGCAGTCGCTCGAGCCATTTCGACTCCCTCCCCGGTCCACATCATCTGCGCCGCCCCCTCAACTGGGCTGATCATGCGTGCACCGAGCGAAACAATTGCGTCTTCCTCTTCTTCGTTCAAAATCTCAAAGCTTATTGTCATTGATTCGTTCGTGTAGTATGATCGTCTAAGTCCGGGAGCCTCAATCTTCAGCTTTGGTGGTTTGGGCTGCACATTAATTTTATTGAAGGCATTAGACTCTTGTCCAAGCGATCGAGGCGTTGGCACGCCGGCTTTTGATTCCCACCACTGACCTACAGTGTGTGAGAAATTAGTTGAGGTTGCGGCAAAGGTGAGACTCTCATCGTTAATGATAAGCGTGACGGATGCAACGGAGACTTCCCCCGCTTCCCTAGGCACGACACGTAGCCGGAATATCTTGATGTAGTTTGGTGGAATTGTTAGATCGGCACTGCCAGTCTGAGACGCAACAGCGCCAGCAGAAGATCTTCTTGTACCTGATAATGGCGTCGTCGAGGATTCATTCAACCGGACGTCTACAAAGTGGGCACTCGAAGTGTGGGTGTCGCCGTCTTCTCCTTCTCTAGCAAGCAGATAGACGGGTTTCAGGCTGCCTTCGAAGACGACCTTGATCTCCGATAGTTGGATTGCCGGCAGACCGACCTGTGCTCGAGATTGTATGCATAGTTGACATTCCAGTGGCTCTCCAACAAACACATCGTGGGTTGAGAAAGCAAATGTTGCCACCAACGGAGAAAGAGCCTCATCAATTCCCACGGCAACAGACAGGAGCCGGTCCGCCGGGCTGGACGGTGCGATTGCCCGGCGTAGGTCATAGTTAGTGTTGGGCTTCCGGTCAAATACATCGTTTGATAGTTCCCAGATCAGCTGAATCAGCAATTCGCCATCTTCAACATGGGCAAGGCAATCAAGAAGTGCCCAGCCAAGGCCCTGAAGCAACTTCCACCATCCAGCATGTCTCCAGTGGTGGCTATACCACAACTGTCGTAATGTGGTGGCTGCTTCTCCCCACGATTCTGCGTGGATTTGCTCAAACGCCTTCTGAAGTTCGAGAATCTCCATTTTGCGCAGCTGGCCTCGCTTTGCAAAATGACTGATAGCGGCATCCAACGTGGAGATGATCTCCTCCACATAATTGTATCCTGGGCTTCCGTCTACGGGGACTTCACGGTATGGCTCAAGGGCAAGATATGTGTCGTAAAGATGAGCCTTGCTGGCAACCATGGAAGCTGGCGAACGACCTGGTGATTGCCTGTCGTCTTCTGGAATTTGCAGGGCCCATTGTCGACGAGCAACGACACACTTCTTGGCCATATCCAACCAGTATCCCTCATGATGAAGCTGTTCCCAAGGGACGAAGCGCTCGCCCACGGAAAGTGATTTTTCCACATCAACAGAGATGGGAAGCAGGCCAGGGGTGTTGAGGAGTTTAACATGAAGTGGAGGATATTCGGACCGAGATACTAGGTCCGCCATGATTTTTGCCCAGGCAGTCTGCCACGCTTCCCAGCCGTAATTTTCTGTTCCCTTACCTCTTCGATTGACCAAATCTCTGATCCGGTCTCGGTGGGCGACCCATGATCTCACGGCGGTCGTAACTTGATCGGTCCACAACAGGCACCTGATCGTGCGAAAAGCAATGGCATCCGCCAGCAGCCTCGCTTCGTTGAAACGTGGACTCCAAACGGCAATAGCATCTATAATTTCGGCGGCAAACAGACTATCGTAAGCAGTCTCGTAGTTTCGACAAGCGGCATCCATCTCCTGCCGAAATTCGGCGAAGACGCCAAGTTTGAATTCATATCGGACGTTCCAACCCTGCAAAGACAGTATGTGCGAACTACCCGGCTGTACAGTGGGCTGAGGGGCTGCGTTTCGATTGCGCTTGCGCCGTGCATGCTTCGAAAGGTCCCGGTAATATTCTACGCAAAGAGGATGAAGAGACGAAAGAACAGAGTTGAC